CCGATTAAATCAAAACCTCATCAAACTTTTAATTTATTTATCTTTTTCATTGCTTTAAACGAAGCAGTCCCATTTGACATTCTAAATTCAATAAACAATTTAATTTACTCAAACTCGACGAACATAGTGGTGAAACATAAATTAAGTGGTGCTATATAATTATATTATACTGTAAGTTATTCCAATTACTAGAATTTAATAACCTTAATATTATAAAGCATATTCTAACACGATTAATAATTCGCCTAATACCCTCTGTACAGAGGAGGCTCTTGCCCAGCAGTGAGATAAGTACGGGCTATTACTTTACTATACTTTATTTTTATTTACTCCTATCAAAATTTTCTTAAAAAAGAATTTGTATGGTGGTGAATTGGTATGTGAACAGTAATCATTACTAATTGTACATACATTGATGCCAATAATGACTTTCAATGACATTTAACAAAATATTGGCTGAAACTAAGCTAAAATGGTGGTATTCTTGTGAGAGTTTTTAATGACATATAAAGAATTAATTACAAACTTTTAAAACTCTTACCTATTTTATTTCAATGTATAATTAAATTTAATATACGTGAATTTCGCCATCGTATATCGACTTCCAGCAGTGACCTATAACAATAATAATTAGTGGCACAAGGAATATATTTATTTACAAATACGAGGTAAATATGACACTAGTGTACCGAATCTGACGCACTCAAATAACGCCAATTGGTGTAATTAGTTTATATCTATGTAGTCTGCTATCTCTTTCCAAGTCACATTCACTTTTATATGTCATATAATGTACATCGGAACATTATATTAACACCGTGCAGTATGGACATGCGTCATCTTTAATAAAACATCTTTGGTTTTAACATTTTTTTAGTTAAAATACTGATAATACGCAAGTGCTGATGAAATGATACTAATACTGCGACATCCCAATACCAGTTCCTTCCATTTGAAGCGCTGTTATCTTTTGGCTTTGCGATGAAACGTTTTGTCTCTTTGTATTTTCTATCGCGTTCACTGAGAAATTGCTTGTCACTGAGTTTTACCGCCGCGTGAAGAAATTATAAAGTCCCAGTACCATAATTACCATCAATATCACCATGTGCTATTTCACGGAATTTTCTGCCGTTTACTACCATTGCAATTTCTACGAAATTAGTTATGACTTGTGGTAGGTGGTAAATCTGGGGCGATTTAACTGAAGGGCCTTCAAGAAGAAAATATATTCCTACCTCAAAGTCCAGTCACGATATTGTAACACCTCTGCAGGTATTCATCGTAGGGGGGGATCATGTGCCCTAGGTTTCCCGTATGCTCATGTCTACTTGAAAAATACAGACAACAGCTGCTTTTTTGTTTACATGTTATTTTGCGTTGTTTTATTTTTTCTTATTTTTAGTTCGATCGTTACTGGTACTGTACAATATGTGTAAAACCATAACTACAACTCGCCATTGCCCCATTATTAATTCGTAGTCTGTACGCCCGCAATGAGGATCAAGGTTAATGGTAGTAGAGAGTATGGTGGTGAGTGGTATTTATTCATAAGTAATTAAAAACGGCTAATAACATATAGTGTAACCGTTGAGTAAAAACCAATTTATAAGACCTTTTAATTTATTTTATTATATTTGTTATATACGATGGCAGCGTATAAACGATAAAAATTTTAAATAATTTAGCATTTATGTAAAAGTAAAAAAGTTTTTATATTTTATTTTCATATTTGTACGTTATTTCTAGATTAAAATTGACTCCAGAAACTTAACAGTCAAAATTAGTTTTAATTATATGGCACAGCTTTTTTTTTGAAGTTATACGTCTTTTGGCGTGTTAGGGAAAAATGATGAAATTTTTACGATGCGCGCGCACTCCGTCACGAAAGACCGACACCTTGAAGTTAGACGTATGTTCATCTACGTATGTTTGCGTGAGATCTTACAACTGTATTCACGATATTTATTTTGTGATATTTAAATAAACTTTACTTAACTAGACAATGCGTTATAATAAAACTTTCAATGTAATAAATACCGTTTTTCCATTGTTAGTGTTGCAGTTTCTACAAACGTAGATAGTAGAAGTAAATAAGGCGAAAAATAAATTTTTTGAAAAGATTTTTATCTTGGTACGCCAAAGAAGTATAACTTCTAACGCATGTAAATAAGTACATACACAGTTTTTTATGCGATAAAGTGGCAAATGAGCTGGGGGCTGTCACTTAACATCGCCTGATGTTAAGTGACATCCGCCACCCATGGATATTTGCAACACCCGTAGGATTGCAAAAGCGTTGCCACCTTTAAATACAGCGGGGCCCCTCTTCCTCACTCACCAGAAGAAACGCAGAAGTTTAACACTTCTACTTTACGTCGGTCTTCTGTGAGGTCGTGGTAATTACCCGGACGGACCTGCCCATTCGTGCGACAGTGAATACCATTGCGTGGTCAATCAAAGTTAGCGAACTGACAGCGGTTTGCTTTGAATATGAATGTACCTGAGGCGCCGTCGTTTCGACATGGTGCAGTAGAAATTCATAATATGTATATAATCTTTAGATGACTCCGTGGCGCAGTTGCCAAGTTATTGGCTTCGGCGTCGGGGGTCGTGGGTTCGATTCCCACACGGGACAACTATTTGTGTGACCCACAGATAGTTGTTTCGCATCTGGGTGTTTGTCCGCGTGAAATTTATGTTTGTAAAACGTCCTTTACAACACAGGATAATATTATCCTAAAGTAAGGGCAGTGTTTTTAAAAAAAAAAAAAAATCTAAATTTTTAGAGTGAAACATAAGTAACAGCTTATTCATGAGCCACTGCTGGGCAAAAACCTCTTCTGTACATTTCGGATTGACTCATCATCGTCATCATTTCAGCCTGTTTGAGTCCACTGCTGAACATAGGATAGACTCACTTCATATTTATTCATATTTTTTGTTATTATTTCCAAAAATAATCTCTGATTGCTTAAGTATATTGAATTAAAAGTAAGCGTCCGTAGAATGAGTAATTACGACTATGGACATTATTTACATTAGATAATTAGAAAAAACAGCATTTTATGGGAGATTTATCTAAAGTCATAACCACACTTTTAAGTAACTAAAATGTTTATTACATTACTTGCAACCAGTTTGCGACATATCAATTCGCGCAAAATAGAGATTTTTCAACATTTTCTATAAAAAAAGCCATTTATCCTAAAAATCCAATTTCATTAAGACTCCTTTGTACGCAGACGGGCAACCAATTTTATACCAGACTAGCTGCTGCCTGCGACTACGTCTGCGTAGAATAGGCTGAAGGCGTAACATTCAGACAGAAAGACAGATATACATAAAAATATATATATGTATATTAATTATAGCCTATGTGTTATTTTAATGTATAAGCTATATTATTGTAAAGTTTCATTAAAATCCATTCAGTAGTATTTGCGTGAAAGAGTAACAAACATCCATCCAAACCATACATACAAACTTTCGCCTTTATAGTATTAAGTAAGGATTTATCGTCATTTAACTCGTACTTGACTGTCATTCTACATACTAAATGAAATTGCTAAATAATAGTAGTCGTAATTTTTATTACATAAAAATTGTATCTATATATATATCTATATATAATAGTATCTAATGTCGGTATCTTTGTTTTTCCAGTGAAACAAGCCACTAACCACTTAGCTCAATTAGTCATAAAGTCATTTTGAATGGATGTGAGCCTAATAATAAAACGTACTAATATATTCCTCTGTTTTCTTTTTTTCAGATTACACCAGTAACTCGATAAGTTACTCAGTTACAGATTTGACAACAGCTTTGAAGGTGACTAAGAAAAGGAAGGAAAAAATAATTTAAGAGCCGAAACTATCCTATAATCAAAATTTTAATTTTCCATATGAAATAAATTCCCAGTTTGATAAATAATATATAAGAAATCAAGGATAACAAATAACCATACAAATAGACTACCTTTCAAATTGCGCATACAAACCAAAAAATTTCCTTATCCGCTAATTTGTGTTCATCCCCATGGCGAATTAATGGCGAAGAAAGGAAGAAGCAATGAATCAAACAAGATTTCAACGCCAGCAATGAAATTTATATCGAAGAGTGTGTTTTTATTTTTTTTATAATTGTCTTGGAAATATCTGGACCAATGCATGGCAAATATAAAATCGAGAAGCAAGTAAGCAGTACCAGGGACAGCCCAACCAGGGACTCGTATGGCGGCACAAAATCATAAATTTCATCGTTCACAGCCTAGCTTTGTTACTTTACCTTCGTATCTTCTAGCAATCATATATTTGGTGACACAAACAAATTTTGTATTTGCATCATTTGATCTGAATGATATCTATCTCTCCGAACTTAACACCACTAATTCAAATTCTACGATAAACTGGACTCTTTTGGAAAACTCCTCGACAATCCTCGATAACAATTCACATATCAAACATTCTAAATATTCCACATTGGTTACTATTCTTTTAGCTGTAATTTTTATGATAGTCATATTTGGTACAATAGTGGGTAATATCTTAGTTTGTGTTGCTGTTTGTTTGGTGAGGAAATTAAGGAGGCCAAGCAACTACCTTATAGTATCTCTTGCAGTAAGCGACCTTTGTGTGGCTACAATGGTGATGCCAGTAGCTATGATATACGATTTACTCGGTACTTGGCCATTTGGACCTGTAGTTTGTGACTTTTGGGTATCCAGCGACGTCTTGTCATGTGCGGCAAGTATTCTAAATCTGTGCATGATCTCTGTTGATCGATATTACGCAATAACAAAACCACTAGAATATGGCGTGAAAAGAACTCCGAGGCGAATGCTGTTTTGCGTTTTTATTGTATGGATGAGTGCAGCTTTTATATCGCTTCCCCCTGTCCTAATACTGGGTAACGAGAAATCTGAAACTAGTTGTTCGGTGTCCCAAAACCAAGGATATCAAATCTACGCTACATTTGGTTCTTTCTATTTACCACTAACAGTCATGGTTGTGGTCTATTACAAGATATTTAGTGCAGCCAGGAAAATTGTAAAAGACGAAAGACGTGCCCAGTCTCATTTGGAGACCCACTGCTATCTAGAAATTAATGTTAAAAATGGAGGAGCGACTGAAGCGAAGCTGTTAGGTAACCAAGCTGATCCAGAACCAACAAGGGGTTCCACTGCTAGTACTAACACGATGGTAAATGTTTTTCCATGTTCGTTAATAATCATAACAATAATAATACATAAACAATAATAACATAATCCTTAGTTTATATTAAGATAAAGAATAAGAAATACTCGTTCCAGTATCACATGGACATTTTTAATATTCAAAATGCGTACAGATGATTCGATAATTAAAATTGTATAGTTTCTCTAAAATAACTCAGAAAAATTTGGCTTATTTGACTTTCATTGATATTGTGTTCCTTTTATTCTTTACAGTGCAGCATAGACAAGACTGAAAGTTCAATCGGAAGATGTTTTACTAGCCAACGTAAATCGAATGAATCGCAGTGCCCTATGTTACAGCATACAAGAACTCCAACAAAGCCTATTCATACAATTAACAGGCCACTACCAAGGATAGACTCAACTCAAGAAACTAAGCGTCAAACAAAAGACAGTAAACGACGCCAATCATCTGAAAGCACGCATAAATTAACTACCAGTAGAATACGTTCATCTTTATCAAATTTTGCTAATAAGAGTCATATAGCTAAGGACTTGCTTCATCCATCACACTCACCGCACCAAAAAAAGTTAAGATTTCAGCTGGCGAAGGAACGTAAGGCTTCGACTACACTCGGAATTATAATGTCAGCGTTTATTATATGTTGGTTACCTTTTTTCGTTCTAGCTTTAATAAGACCATTCGTTAATGAAGATACAATACCAGACGCTGTCAGTGCACTTTTCCTTTGGTTAGGTTACATCAATAGTTTGCTCAATCCTATAATATATGCTACTTTGAACAGAGACTTTCGAAAGCCGTTTCAAGAAATACTTTTCTTTCGATGTTCAAATCTGAACCATATGATGCGCGAAGAATTTTACCATAGCCAATATGGAGGACCCGATCAACATTACTGTGTAAATAATGCATCCAAAATACAGAATTACGAAGAAGGTGTAGAAATAGTTTCAGCCGTAGATAGAGAAGAGATAAGAGCTTCGGAGAGTTTTCTATGATTGTCAATAGCAGAGGTCGAAATTATCGAGACCTAGATACTGTGATCTAATTAGGACTTAATCATAATTAAATGAGAACCATAATAGTTTATTAAAAGTAAATATAGTGTTGAAATATGAGTGTATATTTGAGTGGGATAAGTGAAGTGAAATTAATATTAACTCCGAAGTATTCATTGTTTAAATTTTGTTTAATAAGTTCATACCAAAAAGAAAAGCATTGCAATCCTAAAATCTCTACTGTTTATTTGTTATGTAAGTTTTAAGGAAAGAAATCAGTTATTAGTAAACTGTTACGGATTTAATATTGATATAAGTAAAATAGCGAATACCAACAGAATTTCAATGATTATAAGTTAATCATAAGCTTCGGTATATTCTTAAGATTCTAGAAATTTATTTTATTCCAAAGTAACGGAGTACAAACAGTACCGTACTGTTTTAAATTTAAAGTGATGATCAAATAGAACATTAGTATCGGTTATTTTAACATTATTTTAAATTTCATTTAAAAATATTTATTTTAAAAAATAGGAACCTGGTTTTAAATAGGTTAATACGAATTATTCACTAAAAAGTTGTTATGAAGACAACTTTCACAGAAAAAATAAAGTTATTTAAGATCGTACTGATATTTTATTGGAAACATATAGTATTTTAAATGTGATAGTAGTTATAGAATGAGTATTGGGTTTGAACTTTGAAGTATTTGTTAGAATGTCGTTTTACGCACGGTTTCAAGATTGTAAATTGTGCAAAAACCTGTAAATATTTTAGTTCATTAAAGCAATACTAATATTCAAAAATTTTTATAATTATTTTGCAAATGACTTCGCGTCTTTGCATGAACGTTAACCATGATTTTTGTTAAATTTATGCATTCCGTAAGCATATCTAACGTTGTAATAATATGTAAATATTGAGGGACACAGTAGTAGTTGTTATGATATAAAAATAAGTGATATATATATATATATATATATATATATATATATATATATATATATATATATATGTATATATATAATTAATTATACAGCGTGTCTTTACAATCGCGACAATAAATGAACACACATATAGAGGATAACCTTTTAAAATTGTAATAAACATGTACATTCTTTAAACATCAATATTTACCGAGTTATAAAATTTTCCAAAACAAAGAATTTTAGAAAAACCTTACGTAAAAAACTGTAACGTAAAGTTCATTTGTAAAGGTCAAAAAGCATATGAATGGGTAGCGTTAGACGTGTGTTCATTTATTGTCGCGGTGGTAACGACACGCTGTATATATATATATACGATAATAATATAAGGATAGATGTGTAGCAGATACCGTGGGGAAACTACGCTTGGAGAAAATAATAATTTCACACTGGAATTTGATGTACCAAATATATTTTTTCTTTGGTGTAGTTTCTTTTATTGCCTAAGTAATAAACAGATGTAAGCCATTAAGACAATTACTCATAAATTGTAAATAATAAGTATAGTAAATTAACTGATAATTTATAAGAAATTAATAATTAAATTAAATCATTTTAAGGGTCATTTTGTGAAGTAGCTTAGACTGAATAAAAATTATTAATTTTTAAAACATTTTGTTTCTTGTATTTCAAAAACTGTAAAACTTTTTAAGAATCCGATAGTTCAATGTGTTCATTATTTATGTTTAACTGTATTATGAAGTAATCATCAAATTACATTTTAATAGTTCATGCGTATTTTGTTTATCTGAGGGGCACGTAACGTAACATAGTATTTACTATGACTGATTGGAATAATTGTGCATTTATTTTATTTATCTAAAAATTGCTCCCATTAAAGATATGATTAAGAAGCTGCTCTCATGAATAGTGTTGTTTAGGATTCATGAGATCAGCTTATCAACCGAGCGTCTTAAATTGTGAAAGATAAAAAAGTGTTAAATAATTTCTATCTTTCTCATCTTAGTATATCCAGAATTTCTGTTGCGGTTACCGTACTGTAATCGCTGCCATCTCTGTAAATAAGAGAAGCGTGAAGAAATAAATTTTTATGCCACCAAATACGTCATTCAATTTATCGAACTTGATAATATGTTCATAAGAACGTCAGGTTTAGAAAATCTAGTTGAAATATTGTGCAAGCCTGTTGTCCGTTTCATATTAGATTAGTAAAATAAACTAAACTAGACTTTCAACGTTCTCAAAAAAATAACTTGACTCTACTAGTTGAACTTTACTCATTTGAGGTTGTTATTCATTTCAGGTATTTGAGGTTAATAGCTTTCTTTACTTATTGTTCTTTAAATATTTTATATTTGTGTGTTTGATAATATGTTGAAATTTGAGATGTATGTCTTGACATCCTTTGTCATCGTTTAGAACAAAATATTTATGCTTGCAATTTGAACATGTGATAGCAATAAATCTGTAGTAAATTACAGATCCCTTGTAGCAGACACTAGTCCCGAATATGAATTGAGTGCTGGAGATGAAAATTAAAGAAATGATTAGTCAAATTAATTCTAATTGTAAATATGTACATATATATTTAAAATGTTTTCTTTGTAACGATTAAAGATTCATCCTAGTTGTTGTAAGGTTTATAAATCTGTAAAAAATAATACAGCATAATTATTACCAAAGAGCGCTAGTAGTACAAAAATGGCTATCACATTTAGTTTTATGATTTAAATTGTATTGCAATGATGGAAATAATGTTTCAAAAACGTCAATGCAATCTGTAAGATTTGAATGAGTGGGTAGCATTAAAAAGTCACGATCTATTTATATCGATGTATCTCAAAATATTGTTTATCATGCATCAAAATATTTATCGCCTTACATTAACTAATTACTCTGTATTTTTATTCTGTGCCATTTCTCACTTCAAAGTCTACAATACAATAGTAATCTATAAGTAGCCATTTTAAATGCGTATACTTATTTGTCAATTAATTTACTTTTATGATTGTTTTTACATCGACACATATTTTATCAAAGTGTAAACTGTTATTTTTTATAATCTATATGTTTTATTTCATATATTGTAAGCGTAATTTTTTTTTTTTCATTTTTATTATAAAACAACATACATAGAATTCTAACTAAACCTTATAAAAATAATTGTATTTTTCTTATGTAGAACTAAAATCGATGAAATAAAATAGGCTACAGAAAAACATGGATGTATTCATTTAAATATTTCCTCTGCTATTCAATAACGGTATGTAGTATTTTACAAAAACTTGTTAATAGTGTCATGCGAACTAATCTTTATGAACCAACGAAATAAAACTAGTATGGGTTTTTCGTTTTGCAATTGCGCCTTTCTTGGAAGACCAAAGGGTCGGCTGATGCCGGGTTCGAATATTAAATACACACATAAAAAAGTACTAACAAACTTGTAATATAAAATTATGTACACCGAAGTTCTTTCGTACCTGGCGACATCTGCGGTTCATCAGCGGCGGTTGAAGTTATTCCTCATCCTGCGATTATGGCTCCTAATGAAATTTCAGTGGGCCATGCAGTTGTTGAGTGGTGGCCACACGGTCGGGAACTTTCAAAACCATTCTTTGGAGCATATCCCACGCATGCTATCGTTATAGCCGTATGCGAACCGGTTGGTTCGTCTGGTGAGTGAGGTAACCGAGGCCTTCTTTTGAGGTGTGTTATAGATGTTCATGGGCAGTTGTTATCACTTAACATCAGTTCAACCGACAGCTCGCTTGTCACTTTCTCACATAAAAAATGAATTAAAGTAAATGAAAGTTGCAGGGCGCCAGGCCGGGACTAAATTATCTCGAACCTTCCATAGTCGAATATTCAATTATTCGTTTCGTCCTCGAAGCTGCTGTGTAACATTTTCCATGAAAAAAACAACAACAGTTTACATACCAGTCTGCAGTAACTGTCCTTCCGTCTTCCAGCACAACTGTCACGAAATGATCTTTCCGACCAAAGAACAAGGCAATCACCATACAAGAATTTTGGAATTGCCGCCAATTCACGAAAACAAATAACAATTAATGTATGCAATATATCATATCAGGTTATCAAAAAGTTCTAAATTCAGCATTTAAAAGAATTTTTAAGTTTAAATTTTTCTAACTGGCCAGTTCTAAACACTTGCATTTGTAAATTGATTTGTGCCAGGTTAAACACAAAAAATATTATCCTTTTATAAATGAAGTAACGTTGAACGGGTATACTGAGCCAGTTACCATTATAACGCACTTATTACAAGGGCATTGTTTCGTAGCGTTTTTGATACTCTGCAATATGGATTTGCAAACGTACCAAGAAAACGAGTCTCCTATTGTGTTATTGTGCACTAAAAGCAAATAATAGAGCTACACAAAACAGTACGCACTCAGCTAACGTCACACAGGAACATATGTATCGCTAACGGTAACTTGTCCAAGATAATTAACGAAACGTGGAATAATATTTGGCATACTTTAAATTTTATGTGACAATTTATTAAACCATTCATAAATATTTTCTGTCTGTTCTTTTTATTTATCTGGTTTTGTAAATAGGATTTGTCATACAGATAAAACATGAAAGAATAAACATATTTAAAAGGTATACAGTATGCAAGTATAGCGCATAATTTAAGTTAGGTCAACTTGCTGGCGCTGTGCTTTTTGTTCGAATCCTACACGGAACTCATTTGAAGGACAAATACAAAACCTTTGTTACGAGTCTGGATATACCTTTTAGTGTTTAATTTTTGATGTTTGTAAAACTTCCCGCGTCACATGATTTATTTCATAGTGCGAGACGATAAATAAAAGAAATAATGTAAGAATGTATAATTTAATTAATGTTTTTTTTTTACTTGAAGAAAGTAAAATAAAAAAGAATTTAATAGATAAATAGTCAAAAAAGCTTTGGCGCTGCCTTCTGTATGCCTATAGATATAATATGAATGTGTCATTGCTGCGTATTTTAATGGGCATACTTATACGGATCAAAGCTGTGAGATCAAGAAATCGAACACCTCAGTGCTTCTCGAGACCATGACAGTGGCAAAGTATGTTAAGTTTTAGGTAAAAAAAGTAAAATAACAGCCTATAAATGTCTCACTGCTGGGCAAAGGCCTCCTCTGTAAAGAGGGTATCAGGGCGTAGTCCACCACGCGACTCCACTGCGGATTGGCGGACTTCACATATTTTTCGAAATATTTTTTTTTTTTTAATATTTCGAAAATATGCAGGTTTCCGCTTCGATAAGTCAGCACATAAAATTAACAGTAACATTGGTGCTGGCGCCGGGGATCGAACTCATGTTGCTCGAGTATATTGAATTAAAGGCGTGCGCCCGTACACTGAGCTATCACGGCACGTTTTAGATAATAAATATAAAATAATTCTATAATATACATTGAATTCGTATAAGTATATTAAAATAAATACTATATTAAAACAATAGATATCCTTTCATTTGTATACTCTTGAATATCTGGTTGTTTTTTTTACGTAAGTAAGTGAAAGTGGAAATCGAGCTGACGGTTCACTTCTTAGTAAGTGCTAACAACCGTTCATGGAAAGCAGCACCTATGGGGTTGCAAATGCGCTGCCTTAAACCTTTTAAAAAATAGCCTGCTTTTTTAAAGGTCAGTCGTCAGGCGAAATTCAGAAGAATTATATTTCCAATTCACTTCGCCAGATGAGCAGCCATTCATAGTAAAGCAGAAAAAATATCATATATGAATATGACATATGTAAGTCATATGTTTATTAAGATACAGATGCCTGTTTATGCTCCTATATTTAGTTAGAAAATATGCGAACCCAACTGACAAATTTAAATGATAAAATGTCACTTTCTTGTGCACTAGCATATTTATATATACATAGAACTTTATCAGCAAACAGTTTTAATTTAAAAACATTTTTTGCTAGGAATTGTCTCAGTTCAACAGGCAAGCTGTTCCAAAGTGTGATAGCAGTGACGATAAAAGAATTTGGCGTAAAACCGGAATGAATCAATATGAAGGATAGCCGAGGAACAGAAATCTTTCTATTAAATAAGAAGGTGAGGAAGAGTCGCAAAGGAGGAGACAGGGTAGACAAGATACGAAAGTATATGCGCTGATGTAAAGTAAACCAAGTATGAGACATGGTCATAATTGTGCAGGCATAATTATTGAGTAATCTCTCCACCTTGTTCGGCAACACCGAAGAAATGTGTTAATTTCGATTAAAAAATATTTTAATTGTTAAAGTTTAAGAAGGCCATACACATAGTTAAAATTGTTGGTTAAAATGCTCTTCATATTTAATGACAATATCATTCCGAAACAATGTAAGCCAGGTTCACTCGGATCAAACCCTTACATAAAAACAAAACTCGCAATTAGCAAGATGCGGCATACAAATTACTATTTTACTGAGTGCCATAGTGATTCTAAGAAAATTTGGCAAATCCCTAATAAACCTACTAATAATTGATAATAATCATTTTATTATTGTAAGTTTGTTTATTACGTTTTCACGCCAAAACTACTCAACCGATTATCATGAAACGTTGTTCGTAAAGGTATTAAAAAAAGGTAAAAGGATCTCTTTATTAAATAAAAAAAAAGATATTTTTTAAGATCTTCAACACGAGCGAAGCCGAGGGCGGAAAGCTAGTAACTAATTATTAAGTTTGCTCGATACAGGCTTGTCTAGTGAGGAAACTAATGGAAAACATATTTATACTGAATGGTACAAAAAAAATTGATTTAAAACAGCTATAGCATAGCAGTATTAGAAATAAATATGATAGTTTTCTATAAACATACATACATTTATACATTTTAAGTTTCATATTAAGTAGCAGTCTCGGGAAAAGTTAAACTTAAATTTCAATGTAAAAATTTCATTTGAGAAAGTGTGTCTGCGGGTAAGGACGCCACACGCCATTGATAATGCCAACCATTAGTAAAACTGCAATAAAACATAAGGTAGGGCTAGGGCGTCTTGATGCGTAATCTGCAAGACAGTAGGTTCGACCCTGACAGTGGCGTAAAATTTAGCTTTTTTTTAATTTTTCGCTTACTTACTTAATTGGCATAAAAATAACCTAATCGAATGTCAAATGGCCATAAACCGGTCACAACATTATAAATAATGTGAAGGGCTCAAATTTGTTTTCTTTCTATTAAAACTATCATCTGCATGCATGGATTTACGAGTAAGTTTACTTTCAGCTTTGCATAAGTGAAGGAATCCTTTATTATAGCACCAAGTCACGTTTCGTTAGCACAAACAACTAAGTTAGTGATCATAATAGAATAACGTGTATTTTGTATCAAAACAGGTCAATTACGGAAAACTTTTTTTTATTAATTGAAATTAATTATATTATTACTATTTTTCATGGTCGTAGGGCTACACAGCAGCCACGGCTGTTGCACGAATGGCTGCCCATTCGTGCAACAGTCGAGGCTGCTGTGAGCTCGTCCGGGTAAGTACCTTGACCTCACAGAAGACCGGCGTAAAGTG